ACTATGCCAATCTGATTCTCCCTCGCTGTATCTGACTCTTGAACAAAGACACAGGTGAGAAATTAATGAAGCTGAGATCTGAGAGTAGCCAGTTAGAAAAGGCCAATCCCTTGTGCCCTGATGTTTCCATCCTTGGAGTTGGCCTTGTTTTTAATCTTTTCTCAGAAAATTTACTCAACTCTTCCTTACTTAATCACTTTATTTGTATAATAAAGAATTCGGCTGATCTTTATCTTCAGGTCAATTTCCCAGATAGAAGTATCTTTGTAATGCATGGTGGGTCCCTTGAGTTCAGATTAATGAGATGACTCTGGATGGGTGCTGGCCATCAGAAAGACCAACCAGTGACTAGAGGATTAAGGCTTTGAGACAGGTGATATCAACCCAACTTTCAGAAAGAAAAATGGGATTGGAGATTGATTCCCATCATGTGGCCAATGGGTCAATCAACCATGCCTACGCAATAGAACCCCAATAAAAACTCTGTGTACTGAGGCTCAGCTGAGCTTTCTGGTTAGCAATCACATTAATGACTGATGGACCAGAAGGATGATATGTCCTGATTCCACAGAGAGAAGACACAGAAACTCCACATTCAAGATCCTGGCAGACCTTGGCTTATTAGTCTCTTTTTTTAGCTGGTCCTAATTTTTATCCTTTGTAGTAAAACTTAAATCATATGTAAGCACTTTCCTGAGTTCTGTAAATCATTTAGCACAGCGATTTTCAACCTTTTTCATCTCATCAGACACATAAACTATTAAAATTCTGTGGCACACCAAAAAATTATGTTTTGCTGGTCTCATTCTCAGACACAAAAAGGTATAATTTTGATTCATTCACACCAGACAGTTATTGTTGTGTTGGCTATTGTCATTTTTTTTTTAAATTTGACAATCTAAAGGAAAATAGGTCAGTCCCCCTGACTAGTCACTTATTGCATTTTAAAAATTCTCTCATGCCCTAACTGATTTGGCTCAGTGGATGGCACATCAGCCTGCGGACTAAAGGGTTCCATGTTCGATTCCGGTCAAGGGCATGTACATTGCTTGCGGGCACATCCCCGGTAGGGGGTGTGCAGGAGGCAGCTGGTCGATGTTTCTCTCTCATCGACATTTCTAGCTCTCTATCCCTCTCTCCTCCTCTCTGTAAAAAATCAATAAAATGTATTAAAATAAATAAGTAAATAAATAAATAAATAAATAAATAAATAAATAAAAAATTCAGCACACCCATTGAAAATTGCTGATTTAGCAAATTATCAAACATTAGGGGATAGTGGAAAACCGATAATTTTGTAGCTAGTTATCAGAGCACAGGTGGCCTGGAAACACCCAGAGCTTGTGATTGGTTTGGTATCTGAAGTAAGGGCAGTCTTGTTGGGGCCTGAGCCCTTAACTTATGAAGTCAGCATTAACTCTAATTAGTAACAGAATTGCATTACATTATTTCTTTTTTAAAAATATTGATTTCAAAGGGAGGGAGATGGAGAGAGAGATAGAAACATTGGTTGGCTGCCTCCTACATGCTCCCTACTGGGGATCAAGCCCACAACCCAAGGCATGTGCCCTGACCAGCAATCCAACCATGACCTCCTGGCTCATGGGTCAATGATCAATCACTGAGCCATACCAGCCAGGCTTTATTACATTATTTCACTTAATCACTCTCTCTGTCTCATTTTACTCATCTGTAAATGGAGATAAGCAAATATACTAAATCCTAAACCATAGTATTTACACTTTATAAGATTTTTGTGAAAAATTATTTACTATATGTAAAGCACTCAAAACAGTATCTAGTACATACTAAACACTACATAAACATTAGAGTCATTTTTGAGTGTTTTTATTGTTAAAAGTCCAGAGTCCAAACGATCACCAGGCTTTCTTGCTAAATTTAAATAACACAGAGAAAAGAATGGCTCCTAACATTAGTCAGAAATCTTAACAACGCTAATCACATAGATGATACTGACATTAGCCAACTAATGTTCTGAATCAATACTGCTGCTATCTATATTATCTAGTGAAACTCAGACCAGCCAGATTAAGCCAATGCCAGAATATTACATAATTTTTGTAGCTCTGGAAATCATCATTCCAAAGAGACTGGGGGCCTTGCTCTAAATAATGACACAAATTGTTGTGAGAAATGGTATACAAGAAGATTCTCGCTTTTAGTTTTTCAAACCACCAGACATGACACATGGTAAGCAAATCCTAATAGTACATACTACCTTGTTCCCCGAAAATAAGACAGTGTCTTATATTATTTTTTTCTCCCAAAGTTGCGCTAGTCTTATTTTCAGGGGATGTCTTATTTTCGGGGAAACACGGTAGTATATATCACTTCTCAGCTTAGCTACGAACTACAACACTGTGCATTATGTGGACCCTAAGAAAAAATATTAATTTGATGTGAACCCTGAGAGGAAATTTATCTGATGAGATGGGTTCCTCATAGTCAACTGAGGGCCCAAACTTTATAAATAATAAAGACCCTAGAGGCCATTTTCAGACAGGAACTTCTCAGGCTCTCTGTGTAGTGGGAAGAACCTCAAAATGAACTCTTAGCTTCCCACACTTTGCCCCATTTGTTTACACCATCTGAGTCAACAACTGCAGGGAAACCCTGGTTTCCTCTTTCTACCAAAGACTGAGACCTGCCCTGTCCAATCAGAACTGCACAATTTGGACACCTCACGTACATAAAATAGACCTAATGGGAATCTGGGTGGAACTTTCACAATGAAAGCAGCTTCATCTTTGTCTCCAAGGAACATAATCTAGGTTGTTACCTGAATCTGTGTTTCCCAGGCTGCAGCTTCCTTTGCTCAATTAGATTCTTTAAATTCTTTATTATGATCTAAAAGTAATTTTTATTTTACTGAAATGTTTTTTTCTGCTCATCAGTAATGGGGACCAACTCGTGAAAACTCACTTAATTGTCTTCTATCTTCCTGTCATACAGAACATAGTTGGAAGTGTTTCAAATAGTTGCTATGTCTATAAATAAACTTCTTACTAGAAAATTATCTTGGGCTGTTTTCTAGTCTTATTATTTAGTCCCTTTGTATCTACCCCTTTTTGATCCCTTTCCCTGCCAGCTACTTCTGTATGAGCCAGGAATGTTCTCCCTGCCGTCTTTCATTCTAAGTTCCTACTTATGAAACCCACTCTTGAAACCCAGGCGCCATGTCTGCATGTTAGTACAGAAAAATAAGTAAATTAAAATTACACAGTAGTAATAGGAGATTTTTCCTGGCAGTGTTAGTATAATTCCAAAGATAACTTCACTGATGGATTTCTCATCAGTAGACAGCCTGAGTTGCTAAGGAGCTACTACACAAAAGCCCCCACCATAAACTCAGCTTCTAAATATCCAAGAAGCTGTCCATATAGCTAATTTATGCTTCTTCTGGAGTTAATAAGAACTACCAGCCTGCCGAAGCCGGTTTGGCTCAGTGGTAGAGCGTCGGTCTGCGGACTGAAAGGTCCCGGGTTCGATTCCAGTTAGGGGCATGTACATTGGTTGCGGGCACATCCCCGGTAGGGGGTGTGCAGGAGGCAGCTGGTCGATGTTTCTCTCTCATCGACGTTTCTAGCTCTCTATCTCTCTCCCTTCCTCTCTGTAAAAAATCAATAAAATATATTAAAAAAAAAAAAAAAAAGAACTATCAGCCTGCCCATTCTAGTACCAGGATTAGAATATAACTCTTCCTGCTTCAAATTTAATGCTTTCAACCTGTATTTTAGAAGCTCCCATACAGATTGAACATTCTATAATTCTAGGTAATAATTTAAGCAAAAACAGAAACTAAATCACTCCTATCAAAACTGGTCTTCTCTATCACCAGGCCAGTTCTTTCAACCAAGATGGTATGGAAAAGCACTGTCTTAGAGAACAGAAGTCCAGGTCTAAGTTCTGGCTCTACTATTAGTTAAATGCATGACAACAAATAGTAATTTTATAAATCTAGGCCTGAGGTTCCTCATCTACAAAACCAGGGACCCTGGAGGTTACTTAATGTTTAAAGCCTCTTAGTATCAACACCTACCCTACCAGTAGGGAAGAGATTGCTTCCAATCCTATTGGTATCAAAAGAAGCTCTAGCCACACATAAAAACAGAGAGAAGGCAAAGTCCTGATTTTCCTTTCCCTGTCAAGTCTCACACAATTAGACATGTTCTTCTATTCAGAATTCTGAAGCAAATGTTCCAGAAAAAAACGGTAGTCATGGTTTAGCGGTTTTACACACGAAAAAGATAAAAAGTTTTTATTCAATAAGTTCAACATGAGTCAGCAGAACGATGTGACTGCTGAAGGGCCCAGTGTCTAATCCTATTGTACTAATAGACACACAGGGTCCAGAACTGAGAAGCTGAAGGTTCTGCTCCACTCTGTGCTGATCAAACCATACCAGAGGGACTGCATACAATTTAAGATCTAGTAGCCATGATCTAAGAAAGACATTATCAATAGTGCTCACAGGCAGGAAACCCAAGATGAGGAGAAGGTTGATAAAATATTTTTTCTTCAAAGAACTAGGGCTATTTAAACTAGAAAAGAGAGACTCAGGGAAGAAACCATCTTTCTTCCAATCTTTGAATCATCTAAGACTCAGCAGAGCTGGGACCAAATGGGAAGCTACAGAAAAAAGGGGCTGCCTCAAATGGCCAGCAAGCTCCCTATCTCTGGAGATGAAGAAGCAGAAACTAGGGGTGGATGGGAATATTGAGGAGAAGGGTAGGGAGAGGATGGAATTCAATTATAATTCCAGTGAAGAACCTCAGTTCTGTTGGGAGCACCTTCCCCCATTCCCAGCACAGTGACTGTATTCATTCTTATTTAGTGACTGTAAATAGAACTATTTCAAAAATTTGCTCTTTACTAAACATTTCATGCTCATGTCCTTTTAAAGCCAAGTTGCTGCCTATCTTCTTCTTTCTTCTCTAAATCTGCCAGCAACTAAGATGGACAATCAGGCTGCCTATTACCTTCTGAGGACTTCCATGCCTTCCATAGGTCCTCCACGCTGATGAGCTTATCCTCGCCATGGAAGGTGTTGTGTTTCACCGTTGGGTCATGGTAATTGAGGTCTTCCCTCAGGAACTGCAAGGAAAAAGAGCACAAGTTATAGGGATAGCCATAAAGGTCACTGAGCTATCCGCAGCACACCCTCTCTACCCAACGCACAAGTGTATCACGTCATTCATGTAGCCTTCCATGTGCCTATGTCCTAGTTGCCAACTAGGTAGCCTTTTCTTTTTTATGTTTCACTTGAAAAAAATAAATATGAGTAGGAAATTTCATTTTTTAATTATGGAAAGATAATAAATGATTGTTAACTGGAATTCAATAATCCAGAAGAGGAAAGAAGGGAGAATGAATTAACAATGTTTGAACACTTAATTATACACTAAACAATATTCGAAGAACTTCTACAGTATTTCTCATCTAATCCTCACAACTAATGAATTACCATATCTGTTTTACAAATAAGAATAGTAATATTCTCAAACACAATGCAATTGGCTCCAAATCACATTAAGTTTCTTTAGACAAGTTAAATTATTTGCTGTGATGGCTTTAAAATATGTTCACAATTCTTTGACAATCTTCCCACAAAAGGTGAGAACCCTTTTCCTTGAATATGGGCTGACATTAGAGATTCATCTTCTAACAGTATGATGTCGTGACTTCCAAGGCTAAGTTAGAAAAGGCAATATGGAGTCTACCTGGCTCTCCCCCTTTTGGGATACCTGCCTTGGGAGTCCTGAGCCAACACATAAGAAGCCTGGCTTTACTGAAGCCCCATGCTGGAGAGATCCTGCAGAAGGACTAGTATGTAGAGATAGAGAAAGATGTCTGAGCAGCCCCAACTGTGAAACTTCCAGCTCAAGAGTCAGACATGTGAGTGGCTGAGGCTTCAGGTGATTCCAGCCCCCTCCCTCCCTTTGTTGTTGTTGTTGTTGTTATTAATCATCACCCAAGGATTTTTCTTTTTTCTTTTTTCTTGACTTTTAGAGAAGAGTAGAAGGAGGTGGGAGAAAGAGAGAAAAAAAGGGAGGGAGGAAAGAAGAGAGGGAGAGAGGAAGGGAGAGAGGGAGAGAGGGAGGGAGGGAGGGAGGGAGGGAGGGAGGGAGGGAGGGAGGGAGGGAGGGAGGGAGGGAGGGAGGGAGGGAGGGAAGAAGGGATGGAGGGAGGGAGGGAGGAAGGTGAGAAACACATCGATTGGTTGCCTCCCACAAGCACCCAGACTGGGGCTGGGGATTGAACCTGCAAGAACCTGCAACCCAAGTATGTGCCCTTAACAGGAAATCAAACCTATGACCCTTTGGTGTTCAGGCCAACACTCTAACCACTGAGCATGCCAGCCAGGGAAGCCCTCAACTTTTGAGTTACTTCACCTATGTCCAAGTAGACAGAGATGAGCTAGCTGTCCCTGCTGAGTCATGCCCAGATTGCAAATACAAGCCAAAATAAATGTGGCTGTTTTAAGCCACTAAGCTTTGGGGAAGTTTGTTATACAACATTAGATTACTGAAACAGTTGTTCAAGGTTATAGCTGATAAGTAATAGAGTTAGTATTCAACCCAAGATACCGGTTTTATAGGCCAAATTTCCCTCCTGTACTGCATATGCTGTCCTTTAATTATTTGGATTTCTTTTCATAATATACTTTTACAAGAAAGAAGAAAAAAAAAAATCAAAGCTTTTAGAAATTTAACTGGTAATTAATTTCATGACTACTCAATAAGCCTGATCACTACAACCTCATTAGTATATAAAGGATTGAACACTGATCACTGCTTTCCACTGAGCCTCAAACATCAAAGAAATGTGCAATTCTGATCATTACTCTCACAAAAGCTCATTTTAGTAGGATTTTCGGAAATGTCTTCCTATCCATCTTTCTTTATCCAGGGTTCGAAAAAGGGCCTGACCCAGAGTAATGCTGATAAATGTTGTTGACTAAATGAACAGATGATTGACAATATGGTCCCAGATTCCCTGGATCCATAAACAAGCATTTATAGTTTTGCAGAATTGAGACAGCTGGGCTTAATGACCTAGGCAAGAAGTCTGAAGAGCCCTAACTGGTTTGATTCCGTGGATAGAGCGTCAGCCTGCAGACTGAAAGGTCCCAGGTTTGATTCTGGTCAAGGGCATGCACCTTGGCTGTGGTTACATCACCAGTAGGAGGTGTACAGGAGGCAGCTGATCGATGTTTCTCATCAATGTTTCTAACTCTCTCTCCCTCTCCCTTCCTCTCTGTAAAAAAACCAATAAAAAATATATATATTAAAAAAAATTTTTAAAGGTATTTGAAGAGAGTTCACAATGGAGCATTCTCAACCTAGTCAGAGTATAGCCTGCTATGCACAAGGAACTATAATGTAGCACTGTCCAATAAAACCTTCTACAATGTTGGACATGTTCAATATCTGTCCTATCTAAACAGTTGCTACTAGGCTCATATGACTATTGAGCACTCATAATGTGGCTTGTATGGCTAAATAACTGAAAATTTTAAAACATTAATTTAGATTTAAATGGCTACATGTTAGAGTGCAGGTCTAACATATTCTATCTACTACCTGGTATATGGGTATGGTCAGCTTTACCTCAAAGAAGGCCAGCATGATGTAGAGAAAGCAAGACCTCTGTTAGATAAGATGGTGAAAGCAATGCTCACATACTACCTCACAGATTTAACTGTTCTTTGTGCCCTCTCGCCACAACTAAAGTTCCTCTGACATCAGAGGGTTAGGTTCTCCAGCTCCCCAACACTCATTTAAAACTGTTGAGAAAAGCTACTTTTTAATAAAGATTAAGTAGGTTACATGGTGAAGATCCCAGAGCAAGGAGATTTTTTCAGTTCTTAGGAAAATAAACTATTTAAAGTATTTTTTTTTTAATAGTCAGCTTTCAGGCCATTTGACATTACATTTATTATGTGCTATAAGTTGACATTCCATCTATTATATGCTAACATTTTTCCCAAATTGCCACCCAGTTATTACAACCTCATTTGTTAAATTATTTGTCTTTCATTCCTTTCTGAAAAATATCTACAATAACAAAACCATAATACTTTTTTTTCTTGCTTTAAATAAATTATTGTCTCTTTTACCCAAATAGGATTTTAGTGTTACTGGTCCAAAGTTTGTGTGCCCAAATACTTTAAAAGGCCAAAACACAAAATGTCAGTTTGGAATAAGAAAAGGTTATTTTTTTCCCTTAAATCCATCTTAAGAAAGTAGAGTTCAGGCTTTTTTTTTTTTTTTTTTTTAAATCAACAGAAGGGAAAATAGAAGGGTCTATTTTTCCTTCCTTTGGGATGAAGCTGGGGCTGCGGTCGAGGGAGGGATCCAGGCAGCCTCCACTGCTGGGAAGGCCTAATCTTGTACAAATTTTGTTATCGGGCCTCTAGTGATTTAATGATAAATTAAGCCCTTACATATAGTAGGGTATATTTCTAGGTTCTCCATTCTTTTGTACTAACCCATATTTCTATTTTTGTGCTATCATTTGACTATTATATTATACATTTTATTTTACTTTATACTTAAAAAGTTTTTTCCAATATCTGGGCCCCACCATCCCTTGGTTCTTCTATTTCAATTTTGTTAATTTTATTGAGATTCTAATTGTTCTCACTGGGGACCTAAAGCTCACTAGGCCTTAAACACAGATATTGAGACATCTCAAGGAAGACATAGTCACAGGCAGTCTGAGACAGCCAGTCTGGGGACATAAATGTATTCATTTATTCAACAAATATAAGATTTCTATGTGCCGGCATAGTTCCAGGCATTAGAAATGCACTAAGTAGTAAATAGCACATGCAAATCTTTGTCTTCATTGAACTAACATAACAGTAAAGTGCTCACTCTCTCTGACTCCAGCTTGTTCAAACCTGCTGTTGTTCCCATGACCCTTAGGTTACTAGCTCCTGCTTTACACATACTAATCATGAGAGGAATTCTGCTTGGGGCTTGAGTTTTACAAAAACAGACCATCCCATTTTCCCTTCTGTTGACATAAAAGAAGCCTGAACTCTGTACTTTCTTAAGATGAATTTAAGAAAAAAAAATTTTAAAAGAACAAAAAACAAAACAAAACAAAAAGATGGATTTGAGCATTAGGACTCCTATCTGCTCAATGGCACATTCTCAAACAAACCTTTTCTTATTCCAAACTGACATTTTGTGTTTTGGCCTTTTAAAGTATTTGGGCACACAAACTTTGGACCAGTAACACTAAAATCTTATTTGGGTAAAAGAGACAATAATTTATTTAAATCAAGAAAAAAAAGCATAAAGAATGCTAACAGTAGTGGTATTAAGGGTTTGTTATTTTAATCAGAGGAATCAAAGAACGTCTCATTAAGAAAGTGGCTTTTAAGCAAATATCTGAAGGAGATGTTGGAGAAAAGCAGACAGAATAACTGGAAGAAGAGTATCCTGAGAATAGGGATGGCAAATACAAAGGCCCTGAGGCAAGGAGATACTTAGTATGTTCAATGAATAGCCAGGAGACCAGGGTAGCTGAAAGAAGTGAGAATAGGTGCTGACTATGTAGAGAAAGTCAGGGAAGCAACTGGGGTTCAGATATAAAGGCCCCTGGAGGCCATTATAAGGACTTTAAAAAAAAATTTTTTTAAATATATTTTATTGATTTTCCACAGAGAGGAAGGGAGAGGGATAGAGAGCTAGAAATGTCGATGAGAGAGAAACATCGATCAGTTGCCTCCTGCACACCCCCTACGGGGATGTGCCTGCAACCAAGGTACATGCCCTTGACAGAATCGAACCTGGGACCTTTCAGTCCTCAGACCGACGCTCTATCCACTGAGCCAAACCGGTTTCGGCTATAAGGACTTTTGACTTTTACTCTGAGATGGAAGCTGTTGGAAGAATTTGAATCATGGTACAATATGATCACATTTGCATTTTTAAAAGGATTTCTCTGAATGTTTGTGTTGAAAAGCAGACGATAGGAAGGCAAAAAGCAAATACAAGTAAACCAGTCAGGTGCTATTGCAATAATCTAAGTAGGAGCTAGTGATGGCTTGAAACAAGGCAGTAGTATGAAAGTAATGAGAA